AAAATCTGAAATGAAAGCAAGACCTGCGTCCACCTTTCACCCCTATAACCTCTAATGCACGAGCCAGAGAGCATCCTGTCACAGCCTTAATTATCTCCTGCCAAAGGGAGGAAAGAGGCAGTTCTTTGGGGCGCGGCAACGCTAACTCTTTGCTTCAGCCATACCAGGTAGGAAATGTGAGCAGAACAAGGAAAGCTGGAAGATGTGACTGCAACTCAGAATGAACGGACAGGCCCCTGCGTCTCTCTCTCCCTCTCTCTAGCTTTCACTCTCCCTACTCCCAAACCAAGAGTCCCTGGGTAGTGCAAATGGCTAAGTGCTCAGCTGCTAACAGAAAGGTTGGAGGTTTGAGTCTACCCAGAGACCTGGTGATCTACTTTCAAACAGTCAGCCATTGAAAACCCCGTGGAGCACAGCTCTACTCTGCCACACTGGGGTTGCCATGAGTTGGAGTTGACTTGATGGCAACTGGTTTACTCTAAACCAAATTCCTGATCATATCATGAGGTTTCAAGCCTCCACACTCATGCTTACACACTGCTGGAAGATTCTTCCATGCCTGGTCCACCAAGCAAAATACCCACTCATCCTTCATGATGAAGGCCTGGTCCCCTGCCACTCCTCCTCCTCCAGGGAAAATGTCTCCTCCTTCCTTTGAGCCCTCTCCTACTTCGTACCAATTTCTACCTTGGAGCCAGAACACTGCAGGTTCACTGATTTGTCTTCGTATCTGCTGTCTTCTGTTAGAATACAGCCACCAAACTTCAATGTCAGCTATTTCTTAAAGATAAAAATATTTCCTTATTGTAAAAGTGATGTACCTTCATTTTAGACAATTTGGACATATACATGAAATTTCAAAGAAATATATAAAAATCAATGTTTTAGTTCCTGACCAGAGCTAACTTTCTAAGAATTGTTAGCTATATATTTTTCCAGTCTTTGTTTCATTCAAAGATATAGGCATATTTAAATTTTTCTTCTCTTTATTAACAAGGATCAGGATCTATATACTGTTTCCTAATGTGCTCTTTTCACTTAATATTGTATTTGAAACATTTAAGGTCAGGTTAGGTGCTGCTCTTTGCTGCTTCCTTGTCTATAACTACTGCTACATTCCCTCTCATTTTCTACTGAACACAGCTTCTCATCTTATTCATCTCCATATTTCTATGCCTAGCACAGGGCCTGAGATATATTAGGTGTCCAGGTAGCAATGTCCTAATAGGACTTGATTTCAGAACATTCACAAGTCCATTCTGACAAGTCATTACCAGGGTGAGTATAGACTTTTAATTCAGTCTAGCAAATGGGGCTTCCATGCCAGGGTCTACGGCAGTGTTTGCAAACTAAAAGCTTTTGGGGGCCAGATAGGAAACATAAATAAGAAAAATGGTGTAGAGATAAGGGGTGGCCATTGTGGGGACAATGGCTGATGGAGACCAAATGTCCTGTCTAAAGGGGCAGCCACTTCTCAGCTCCAGCCGATATTGCTTTATGGGAGCAGGGTCATTAGTGGACCTTCTAACTTCTTCAAAAAGGCTAGAAATCCAGATTCACATATGAAACACCCAGACTGTTAAACCTTGGTTCCAGCCACAGTAAATACATCTTCAGGGCAGCTATGGCACCTAAGCAGTCTGTTCCTTCTGCTGCAATATGTTAACGTGGCACCTCCAACCCCCCAGCTTGCTTTCTTCAGTGCCACAAGGAGAAATGTGAATAAAATGAGGGTGAGAGGGAAAGGAGACTGAAGGACAAACACTCACTTTCAGCCCATATGCGTACACTCTAAGGACCCCGTCTCACCCCCTCCTCTAGAGCAGTCATTCTCAACCGGCTGTAATTTTGCCCCCAGGGACATGTGGCAATGTCGAGAGACATCTTTGGTTATCGCTCATATGCCAGTTCTGGCACTTCCTACGGCGTGACCTTGGGTAAGTCATGAACCTCGTCTGTCATGAGGGAATAAGAACAGCTACCTCACAAGGCTGTTGGAAGGATGAACAAGATAATATATACAGGGCAAGGGTATGGGAGGAAGAACTGGTGAAGCCAGGAAAATGGCTGGATTCACATGGGGAGAGACGAACTCCAGGGGATAGTCAAAGAATAAATATAAAATGGGAAAGAGGTTAAGAGAGACCAAGGTATCCTTTAGCCTGTGGGAGAGTTTTGGGGGAAGCTGGAGATAAAAAGGAGAGGCAAGAAAGGAGGCCGAAAGGGAAAGAGTGAACGTTCTAGGAATATAAGCCACCATCTGGCATTTTCTCAAAATACTGCAGCAAAGATTTAAAATATTGACATTGTTTTTTGCTAGTTGCTGGCTGTTGGCCTGAGGTGCTTTTGACTCTGGATGGAGGTGTCATGAGCTGCGAGTGACACAGGGAAGGCCCCGTTACCTGGCCTGTGACAGGCCCTCCACAAAGCTTGTGCTGCAGTTTCACGGTTGCAGTTGTTTCAAAGGCTAGACCATCACAGGGCCGCTTTCCAGGACAGGAGTGTGGCTTTGTGTTCCCGAATCCCTCATCCACCTGTTGGAAGCCAGGGCATCCAGACATCTATCTCTACAAGGAGGGTGGTTTCTCATTCTCTGCCTTATCATTGCAGGAGAATAACCTCCCCACCCTGCCTGCACCTCAGCAGACAATGCGAGGCCTCAGGCAACATGAAGAATAGGCAGGTGTCTGGGCAATAAAGGATATGTCTGAGGTAAGCTGAGGGGCTCACAATCGGGTAACTGCATTCTGCAGCTTTGCTGTTTCTGCAGCTGGAAGCAGCCATAGGCCCCATTAGGCTCTTATTCAATAAGACTCTTGTACATGCAAGATAGGGGGAAATGCAATTTTTGAGATAAACTTTTTTGGTCAGTGCTCTCTCTGAAATAGAGACTCGCCTGGTCTCAGGACACTAGCCTACGCTGAGTCAATTTCATTCTTGGAACAGGATAAGAACCGAGACTGATTTATAATATAACTTTTTGGATATTAAAATGCTAATGAAATTGTTGTCATGAAAAATAATAGCCTGTGTTTTTATTTTAACCATTCTCAAGGCCCCATCTCTTTTTAAAAATTCTTTTCCAGTCACGTAAGGAAAGTGCTTTATAATCTAATTTAAAAGAATCGGTTCCTCCCCCACCCGCCACCCCCCCATGGTGATTTATGTTCTCCACAGAAAGATGTTCTTAACTGGCCAGGAATCTAAATGTGAAAAGCAAAGAAAAACGAAATTTTTGAAAATGAAAATAAATGATCCATTTTTCTTCTCTTCAGGGAAATTACTGCTACCAAAAGATAGAGGATGTGGGAAGCGGTGGGGAGGGGGCTCATAAATTCATCTCTAGTTTCCTTGAAAGCGGCCACTCGGCCTTCTTCATAGTCTCCTTCCCATTCATGCGCCCTGCAGACATAAGAGAGTCCTTCCTGGGTACCAGCACTTTGCTCAGCACAGAGATTTCAAAAGAACAGCCCCTAGTCCCTGCCATCAACACACCCAGAGATCAAAGCAGATGACAGACACTTTAGCAGATCATGGCAGAGAAGTGAGAGCAGTGCCTCCAAGGGAGACAGGTACCAAAGGGCTGCCGAGGCAGGAACCCCAAAGAGAAAGGAGGGAAGGGATAGCTTCACAAAGGAGGTGGCGTTTGAGTAGCATATTGATAGGTGAGTAGGAGTTGCCCAACTGCCAGGGAGAAGTATGAAAAGCCACGTTGTATGGGGAAGGCGGAATACCCCAAACCGAAAGGAGGCAGAGTTGAAGAGGCAAGGCTGAAGGCGGGCAGACACACAGTGAAGACACATGCTACCCAGGCTGAGTGCCTGGATCTTATCTCCCAGTTGGTAGAGGAGCAGTAAAAACGAACAAACGAACAAAAACAACCAGGTGCTGTTGAGTCGATTCCCAGGGACTCCAGAGTAACAGTAAAAAAAACCCCAACCAGTTGCTGTCAAGTCAGTTCAGACTTAGGCAAACCCTAAGCGTTGCAGAGTAGAATTGTGCACCGTAGGGTTTTCAAGGCTGTGACCTTTGGAAGGCAGATCGCCAGGCCTTTCTTCCGAGGTGCTTCTGAATGGGTTTGAACCATCAACCTTTCAGTTAGTAGCTGAGTGCTTAACTGTTTGTGTTACCATTTGAAAAAGTCACTTGCAGTGCTAAAGGAAGCATTCTGGCTGCAGTGTAGATGACAGACCAGAAGGGGGCCACCCTGAGCCGGGAGGCCAGCTAGGTAGCTACTGTACTAATCCAAGCAGGAGAAGGGGACGCCTCCACCAGGGCCGTGGAGGTGATGTGAACGCAGGAGGACAGGTGCAAGAGACACTGAGAAGGTGGGATCGGTACAACTTGGGGGCCAGTTACTTAGCACCAGGTTTCCATGAAGACAGCCCTTGGAATGCTATGGGCTAACAGCCAATTGCAAAATTCACGCTAAGAAGAGCCCCCCCACAAAAAAAAGAAAAGAAAAAGTGTGTTGAGGGAATTTGAAAAGGTGGGAGGCATCTAGTTGGGAAGAAAAAAGCAAAGGGAATTGAGTAAGGAAGAGTTTAAGTTAGTGTCAGATAATCTCAGGCTTGGAAGAGTTCTTCCCAGATAAATGGTTTTCTAGCTTTTGTTTACATACTTTTGGTGATGGGGAGCTCACCACTTCTAGAGACATCTCAATCCATTGATACCCTTTATGAGTGCCTTGGGCCAAAATCTTTCTCTCTGGCTCCATATGTACAGCTTTCTTTGACTTTTTACTTTCAATTACTCAGTGAAATTCCTTGGAAACCCACTTGATTTAGCAAATGGCTAAATTGGATGGCTGGTCAGTCCTCCCATCCTGCTGAGACGTTTCTCCATTAGACCAGGACTGAAGCTGAGAAAAAGTCACAGGGCAGGAGAGCACTGCATGTAACATGGGTGGTTGCCCACTCATGACCTTCACCTTGGGTTTTAAGTTCCTTGGCTGCCTGAGGTCCCCCACCCCACCCCGCCCTGTCAGAAAGTCATGATACCGTGCTGTTGCAGCCAGCAAAGCAGGCAGACAGGTAGGTGATCCCATCTGCCCCACACACTGGAGTGAAGGAGTCGGTTTGGCATTCACAGTTATTATTGCAGGGCGAGTAGGGGTCCAGGGCTGAGCTGGCTGCTGAGCTGGAAAAGAAAGGAGAAATGGAGCCTATCAGAGAGAGGTCAGTCCCAACAGGATCCTCCCAATGACAGCCCTCTGCCCTCTGCCGTGATGAGTCACTCTGGTGCCCTTGCTCGTGGAGTTCTGACCTGGCACCCCTTCCTTCTCCTCTTGCAATCTTAATCCTCACTGCCCTTCAAGGACCAGCCAGGACCAACGCTGAGGGCTGTGCAGGCTGTGCCCTGCGGGACAGTGCCAGGTGAGCAGGTGGGTGGGAGCTGGGTCTGCCTGGAGGAAGAGGCCCCTTTTTATCATTTGACCAATGCACCCTCTGGGCTGGGGGCAGCCACGGCTTAGCGCATGTTCACCCGCCGTGAAGCCTGTCCTGATGCTGCAGCCCCAGCTGACCCCCTTCCCTTGACCAGCAACTCTTCCTTCTTCCTTTTCTGGGTTCATCCTTTCTTCATCTAATTCATTCCCAGCAGACAGCAAGCCCCATAGAGCTTAAGACATTGCTACGACTCGCCTGGCCTAGGTATCTAGGGTCTGTTTGACTGCTTCATTTTCCAGAGCAAAATACTACTAAGATGTTTTAAATTGTCCTTTGCATCATTAAAGGTACAGTTACCCACAGCAAGCAAACTGAAAAGAGAAAAAGGGTGGAGAAGGTGTCTTCTAGAACTCTAAGAGAAGAAGTGTCTCGTTCACCCCCATAATTTTTAGCTAAGTCTCCCAGGGTCCTGAGGACTTACATAGTAATAAAGATGAAGGAGATGATATCTGACGATTTATGTGTCAGGCCCTGTTCAAGGCACTGAATACATTACTGCATTTATTCTCAGTATAACCCAGGGAGTAGGTACAGTTATTGCCCCATGTTAACAGATAAGGAAACTGAGGCAAAGACAGGGTAAATAACTTGCTTAGATGTACATAATGTGTACATAGTAGAGTAGGGATTTGAACTCGGGCAGTTAGACCATAGGCTCTGCGCCCTTTTCTTCTTTGCTGAAGAATAACTTTATTATAGTCAGATTCTGCACTTTTAACCACTACAGTTTACTGCTTGAGAGCCAAGCGATCCACACGAAAGGCTGGTGGGCTTTATCTCAAATACTGTCGTTTTTAGCATGTGCAAACCAGACAACGCCATACCTGGAAAGGGGATCTGGGGCAGCATCGGCAGGGACTGGAAGAGGCCCACCGGGGCTGGATGCAGCGGAGGAAGGGGCTTGGCCTGTGCTCAGAGAGAATGCGCAAGCTGCCTGTGCCTCGGCTCTCCCATCCCACCTGCTCACTCTCGCAGGGGGCTGTAGGTAAACCTGGGTCTTCCTGCAGGGCCTCGGAGTCCCTGTGACTGCCTGGAGGAGGAGCCTGGCTCTTCCTGCAGGGCCTTGGAGTCCCTGTGACTGCCTGGAGGAGGAGGCTGGCTGTGGAGAGGAGCCACACCCTGCAGGCCAGCCTCCCTGCTGCCTCAGTCCTCCCAGGCCTGCTTCCCAAGGCAGCCTCAGAGTCCCACTTAGAAAACGGACAACTGTTGGTGCTGGGTATGTAAGGACTCTCCATAGATTCCCTCTAAGAGTAATGCTGATTGTACTCTGGTCCAAAGCGCTGGGGAATGAGTAGGAAATAAGCAAGTGGTTCCATAAAAACTAACTTCCTTCCTTCCTTCCCTCCCTCCCTCCCTTCCCCCTCCCATCTTTCTTATCTTTCTTTCTCCCTCTTTCCCTCCTTCCCACACTATCAATATGTACCAGGCACTAAACCTTGAGATTACTATAAATCTAATGATAGCTTCTGATAGTTTAAGGAATTGTTGAAATCTATTCCAACTTTTATTTTAAACTTATTTTCATTTTCTATGAAAACACTGTTCCTAAAGTCAAATGCCAAAAATAACCCTATTTTCTCCCCCAGTGGACCACTGGCTGCTTTGGGAGACAGCCTTGTCAGCCCAGAGGGTCACAGTGATCCTTGACCTGGGGAGTCAGATATAGGAGTGTCATTGTCTCCTCTGGCCATGGCCACTGGGGATGAAGTTGGCTCCATTCACACCAACCATGGGGACAGAGTCCTGGCATCTTGGGCAGGAGGGGGCTGAGGTGGGCACTTCTGGAACTTACTTGTTTCCATAGGGAACAGTAACTCCAGCCACAGGGCCCGTGTCACAGCCCAGGAAGAGGAAGGAGACGTAGCAAGCTGTGGACACCAGATTAACGAGCATGGCCATCCGAATGGCCCCGAGCGCAGACAGGCTGAGCTTCTTCACCAGGAGACCGCCCAGGAAGATTCCCAGACAGGCACATGGGATCGCAGTCATCCCTGGAATAAGAGCAGAGCAGGGAACCGTGAGCACGCAAAGAAGGGCCAATCAACACGGAGGGATGAGTGCCAGGCCTTCGGCTGAGCCCTGTGAAGACAGAACTCCCCACTGACTTCCTCGATAGTACCCCAAAGTATTTATTAGGGGCCTAATCTCTGCCTGAATGGTGCAAATGGTTAAGCGCTTGACTACTAACCAAAAGGTTGGAGATTTCAACCTACCCAGAGGTGCCTCAAAAGAAAGGCCTGGTGATCTGCTTCCAAAAGGTCACAACCTTGAAAATCCTATGGAGCAGTTCTACTCTGCACACATGGGTTCACCATGAGTTGGAACTGACTCAACGGCAACTAGCAACAACAATCTCTGCCCAATTGCTGTCAAGTCGACTCCAACTCGTAGCAACCCCATGTGCGTCAGAGTAGAACTGTGATCTATAGGGTTTTCAATGACTGATTTTTCAGAAGTAGATCACCAAGCTTTTCTTCCAAGGCACCTATGGATGGACCTGAACTTCCAACCTTTGGTTAGCAGTTGAGTGTGTTAACCATTTGCACCACCCAGGGACTCCGTGGCAGGCAGCTATCTGTCTGTCTGTCTATCTATCTATCTAACCTCTGTCCTTAAGGAGCTCACAGAAAACTCAAGGAGGCAAACACATAAAATCCCAGTGATGATGACTCTCAGTGCATATACCTGTCGTGCTGGGTTGACCACAATCATAGAAAACACACACAACTGATGTGAGGACAACAGAGAGACAAAGCCAGACGGACTGGGACATACATGTGCATCTTAGGAAGGTCAATGCCATCGAGCACTTTGGAAGTCATGGGGGAAGAGGGATCAGAAGTGTCTGGGGCTTTGCTCCCCTCTTCTCGTCAGGAGAGGGGGGCTCGGTGGACAGGTTTGGAGGCTGTTTCTCCCAAAGGTCACAGAACTCAGCAGCCCAGGAAGACAGCGTTTGAATCAGCTCTGCTCTTCCTCACGAGGCAGCAACCATCAAATTGGTATGTTGTGCAGCTCTTGGGGACTGACTGGCATAAAAAATATATTTTTTCCTGCCTCTTACATACAGAGATATCTGCAAGGCGGCAGGACCACAAACCTGCTCCTCCTGATTCCCAGAGACGCATGGAATTTTAGGAGGACCAAAGGGCCCTAGGCTGCTAATCTCCTCTTTGGTTTTGCTCTCCTTCCGATTCATTTCCTCTACAACCCAGCTTCCCGTCACCGGTGCCATTCGTCCACCATGCAGAGTATGCATGGATGATTTTCCAGGCTAGGCAGCCTCCTCTTTGCCAATCAACAGACCTCTAGGTCAGTCGACTACATCAACATGCTAAGGGAATGCAAATTAATGTTAATATTACGGTAAGGAAGACATCATCAGGAAGTATGCTGCAAGAAAGCAGCACAAGTCAGTTTTAAACAAACATATAATACCTCTGTATTATCTCTATTATCCTCTGTATTATCTGCTGCTCTTGGATATCTGTGCATGGTCCAGCCCCTCTGATGCAGAAGTAATAAGTCTACTCCCTCCCCTCGTATGCCTCAGCACCTTCATTCCCTTTCTTAGGGGTCACCCGCAGTCATGCCCACTCCTCTTTCTTTCTCTTCTAGAACAGCCAGGTCATGCCAGCCTCCAGGCTTTGCACTTGCTGTCACTGCTTCTTGGGATACTCTTGCCCTACGTCTTCCCTTGCCTGGCCCCTATCTCTCCCAGATCCCCTATCTAAAGTGGCTCCTGTACCCCGCTGCCCCGGACTCTCTGTTGTTACTGCCTTCGTGGCTCTCCCCATCGTCTGAGGTTGCCTTGTTTATTTCTGTTTTTCTTGCTCTCTCTCCCCCGCTAGCATGCACCTCCCCTAAGGACAAGGACCCTTTCCATCCCGCTCAGCCCAGCACCATCTCCCTGTGCCTGAACGGTGTCCAGCATAGAGCGGGCACTCTGTATTATTTTCTGAATGAACAAAAAGGCAGAACGAATCCGCGTGAATGAACGTGGGTGACAACAGGTTCACGCCCAGAGAGCAGGCTTGTGCAACGTTTAACTTCCCACCAGAGACAGCAAGAGTGACACTTCGTGTGACGATACCTATGGCAATAAGAGGCTTCTGGCGCCTTTTCTCCAAGCCACTGTCAGCCTTCTGTCTCCTTCCCTGATTGGAGCACCCTCTTAACACTCTAGGCAATTATCAGAATGTCCCAAACTCCATCCTCATTACGTTTACCTACGCAGATTGCGCCCTTTTATCTTCACTCATAAATCATCACCATCGCCCCTTCCTCATCAATGGTGTTGCTGTTCTCTGAACTGTGCTGGCACTTGTTGATGGCTCTGTGGGTGGCCCAGAGCTTTGTTGCTGCTCTGAGATTAATTCATGGGCCCCATCTCCCAGGTTCACCGGAGCTACCAACCCAAAAAACCAAACCCCTTGCTGTCGAGTCAATTCTGACTCATGGCGACCCTATGTGTTACAGAGCAGAACTGCTCCGTAGAGTTTTCATGTCTGTAATCATTATGGAAGCACATCACTGGGACTTTCTTCCACAATACCACTGGGTGGGTTTGAGCTGCCAACCTTTAGGGTAGTGTTGTTGTTGTGTGCTGTCAAGTCGATTCCAACTCCTAGTGACCTACAGGACAGAGTAGAACTGCCCCATAGGGTTTCCAATGCTGTAATCTTTATGGAAGCAGATTGCCAGGTCTTTTCTCCCACAGAGCCACTGGTGGGTTCAAATCTCTGACCTTTTGGTTAGCAGCCGAGCACCTAACTATTGTTAACCATTAACCAGGGCTCCTTTTTAGGTTAGTGTCAAATGTAAACCGTTTGTACCAGCCAGGGACCTAGTGGGAACTATAGGGTGAAGTATTTTCTCAAATGAGTCTCACCTCATGCCCCCAATGTCTTACTCTGCTCCTAACTGCCCATGGCCAGCCCCCTCTTGAACCCGGCTTTCCAGAGTCCACGCTAATTAGACAGACACCATGGACAGGGCGCAGGAAGAGGGCCTGCACACTACCTTCCAGGACTGCCGGAAGGGATAGGCAAGAGGTTGCCTGTCGCAAGGTGGGAGAAGGAGCCCTCCACACCACGCACTCTAGAAGACAGAGGTCACCAGGTGAGAAACTGGTGCAAGGAGGCGAGATTGTGTTTTCTGACCTTCTGCCCGGAATACTATTGATCTGTTTGTCAATAGAAAAGTTAGGAATCTGTTCTGAAATAGAACAGAGCCCCAAAGCTGAAGCCACTGTGCGAATGTAATCAAAATTTAAGGAATGGGCACAAAGAGGTCAGGACAAGAGCTATAAACTCTTCAGTGCCGAAGGGTTAAACCTGCATGATCCTGGGGATAGCACAGAGATTATAATTTTAATTAAAAGGAGATACATTTTGCCCTATCTCTGTCAGTCAGGTATTAAAGGGCTGACTGCATTTTGGTAATACCTACAAAACGGTGGGTGGTAAAGAGTTATTAGTAAAAAAGAAAAAAAAAAATAAGGTTTGTGCTACTCTAGCAGTTCCCAGGGAGAGACACCATGATATACGTTGTATACGGTGAAGTGCACAAAGCTTAAAAGAACAGCCTGAAGAATTTTTACATCTGTATACACCCCTATAAGCACCACTCAGATCAAGCTATAGAAAATTCCCAGCACCCCAGAAAGCTTGCTGGTACCCCCTCCTAGTTAGTCTTCCCCAAGGGTAACTGTTATTCTAGCCTTTATCACTTCAACTAAATTTCCCTCTTTTTAATCCATATAAATATTTTGCATCTAACTCTCTCAGCTCTCAACTTTGTGATATTCATCCTCATTGGGGCATGTATCAAAGTTCTTTCTTTTTCATGTTATGCAGTAATAGTCCGTTGTATGAACATTCTATAGTTTATTTACCCATTCTACTATTGATAGGCATTTGGGTTGTTTCCAGTTTGGTGCTATTATGCATAAAGCTACTACGAACATTCTTACATATGCCTTTTGGTGGACATAAACACTGTTGCTGGGTATATGCCCAGGAGTGGAACAGATGGATCACAGAGTAAGCATCTGCTTAACTTTAATAGGTACTGCCTAAGAGTTTTCCAAAGTGAGTGTCCATTCTACATTCCTGCCAGCAGTGTATGAGAGTTCCAGTTGCTCCATATCCTCGCCAATGCTTGGTGCTGTCAGTCTGGTGGTGGCTCTTAGTATCTCACTGTGGTTTTTACATGCATCTTCCTGATGACTCATGATGGTTAGCACCTTTTCATTTGTTTATTAGTCACTTTGTGATGTGTCAGGTTTTAGAGGGGAAGATCAGAAAATTTCACCTCGCCCATTCTTCTCAGCAGATAATCTGAACTCCTACTTAACAGAAAAGATACAGTCTACAGTGATGTAGCACCTTCAAACTCCTGGTGGTACTGCCACGCTCATGCCTCTTTCCTTTTCTTCGTTTTCAGTGGAGCAGATGAATTCTTTGGCTGTCTACCCACATTCCCTCTCTCTTCTGCAGATCATCTTGTGATGGTCTTTTCCCTCTGCTTGGAATCCTGCTCAAGTCTTTACTGCCCTAGCAGTAACAGTGGTCACCACCCCTCTCCCTTGGTCCCGACACACACCACCAGCCCCTGTTCTCTCTCCTTTTTTCCACAGCTAAGCTTTTGGAAAGTGTCCTGCAGTCACTATTCCTTCCCTCACATTGACTATTCTCCACATCGCCATCTGGCCGCCACCTCTGCCACTTCACAGAAACAGCCCTGATATAAGTCGAAAGGACTTCTTCATTGTTAAAGCTAACGAGACACCTTAGCCCTTCCCTTGCATGACCACTCACATTGCTGACGTCTCCTTTATGCCCGGAATCATCTCTTCCCTTGACTCCCATAACCCATACTCTCTGGATTTCTTTTGGATGCTGCTTCTTAAACTTCTTGGCAGAGTCCTTGTCCTTCATTTCTTCAGGTTGGTGTTTGACCTTTTATTTTCTAATTCTATAATTTTCCTGGTATAAATTCCACTCCCATTTCAACTACGATCCATCTGCTGATGGCAACCAAGTTCATATTACTAACCCAGATCTCTTTCTTGAGCCCTCAACCAAATACAGACATCAGTACCATATGTGCTATCAGACTGATAGCACATCAGTACTTAGGTTTCCCACAGCATCTCATGCTCAGCAAACTCAAATGTGAACTCAAAGTCTTCCCCATAGATCTGATTCTTGTCTGCTATTTCCAGTTTTCACAAATGGTACCACCAGCTGTCCAAGTCAGAAACCTGGGAGTCATTCTTGACCCCTCCGCTCTCCCTCATTCACTGTGAGACCACTTTCCTCATGCCACATGGATGACACAGTTTCTCATGAGGGCAAATTCGTTTTCTTTAGCACGCCAACTACACATAATTGAAAGCAGATATCTGTAGTCTACTATTGAGAAGGATTGTAAGGCTATGCCTGATTTAGAGGTCAATTAGTTATGCCTGTGGGGTAGCGGTGGGAAGCATATGGCTTCAAAGCTCTATAGTTACTGACTGTGGATTTCATGCTTTCTCTCATACCTGACCAAGCCTGCTAACCTTTCAAGATCTATCTTTATTCCTCTCTTCCTGAACCATAAAAACAACTGAGTCAATTCTGAGTCATGGTGTCCCGATGTGTGTCAGGGTAGAACTGTGCTCTATAGTAGAACAATGGCTGATTTGTCAGAAGTGCATTGCTAGGTCTTTCTTCTGAGGCACCTCTGGGTGAACTTCAACCTCCAACCTTTTGGTTCACAGCCGAGTGTGTTAACCATTTGCCCCACCCAGGGACTCCTTCATCTTCCCCAAATACTCCAGTTTACACCAATCTATCGACTTCCCAGCCTCTGACAATGCTTCCTATGTGTGTGTTATGTTTTAACTCTTTATTATCATGTGCTTTTAACAATTGCTTCAGGTGGGCAAATCTGAGCCTGAGAATATAATATGATTTTCCTTTTGTGAAAGACCAGGTGTATACTGCTGTTGCAGTCCCAGCATGATGCTGAGTCTTTGGAGGTTCTCGGTAAATTCTTACAGATTATGTGTACTACAGCCTCTCCCGTCCTCTCATAAGGACAGAGCAATGGACTCACCGAGAAGCTGGTTGGCAGAAGAGGTGGTGAGGTTGAACTGCTGTTCCAGGTACTTCCCCAAGAAGGCCGCAAAGCCGGCCACCACTGCAATCTCCATGCAGGCAGCCAGGATGATGCAGGTGAACACGGGGTTTGAGAGCAGGTGCTTGGTGACCTTCGGAATCACTGTGAGGAGGGAGAAAGCAGAGGTCACACACGCACTGCGCTCCCAGCTTACCGCCTCCTGCTCCAAAGGCTCCTTCTTGGCCCACCCTTCCTGTCTCAGCACACGGTGCCAGGAGCCACCTAGATCCCATAATTCATCAGTAATTCCTGAAAACTTGGGCTTCAAGCTATATCCCGAATATAACCCCTTCTCACCGTCTCCATGGTGACCTCCCTGGGGAAGCCAAATCAGCCCTCCCTTGGGGGTTAACCAGAACGATCTGTCTGGTATCTCGGTTTTCACTTGATTTTCTGATACAATCACTCCCTGCGCTGTAGTCTGCTTCTCAATATCTCGTAATGGTCTCCTGTTCCATCTGCAATGAAATCCACACTGTGTACCCTGGCCCATGGTCTGCCTGCCCCTCAGAGATCTGATCACACTTTCTACCAGGCCCCGTCCCTCCCTCCAGTCCAGCTGCTTCTCCTGTGCATCAAGGTCATTCCCTGCTCGGGACTTTGTCCCTGGGGCTCCCCTCCTTTTTCTGGGCTGCTCTGCCCCCAGATCTTTGCCCTACATGCTCCCTCCTCCTCAGGAGGTCTTCTCTGATCATTCAGTTCAACCTAGAAGCAGCCCCCACCCATCCTGGGTGCTCAGGGCTCACGTGAGAATGGATGATGGTACAAGCCCTGCCGTGGCTCATGCATCACCTAAATACCAACAGAGCTGGAACACAGGTCTTTTTGAGGTCATATGTTTCAATTTTATTTTATTTTATTATACTTTGTTTTTCTCAGAGTATGTGGTTTCTTCAACCACTAAGAATTCCTCTTGCTTTTAAAAATGAAAGATTGGTCTTATAAAATCCTTGTACATTGTTTGGTTACTTCCAGTGGTTAGATCCCTGGCACGTGATCTTCAGCCAGCTGTCCTCAAGTGGGGGGCATGTGCCCTGGCAGGATGCAGAGGGGCTCAAGGGGGTACAAGGACAACCTCCTCATTTCAATAATTCTGCCATTATTTTAATGTGTATTTACACAAAAAGTTAACTGAAATATAACAGATACATCAAATACGCAATTTTATGGCCATTATGATCTACAGCGTGAGGCAGCGGTGGTTCAGTAGAACTCTCACTCCCATGAGGAGATCTGGGTTGGATTCCCAGCCAGTGCCCCTCATGCACAGCCACCATCCGTCTGTCGGTGGAGGCTTGTATGTTGCTATCATGCTGAATAGGTTTCAGTGGAGTTTCCAGACTAAGACGGACTAGGAAGAAAGGCCTGGTGATCTACTCCTGAAAATCATCGAGTGAAAACCCTATGGATCACAACAGTCTGATCCACAATTGATCATGGGGATGGTGCAGGAGTTCCATTGTACATGGGCTGGCCATAAGTTGGAGGCCAACCTGACAGCAGCTAACAACAACAATCTAAGATGAGGCTAGGTTAAAACATGTAAGTAAATTTAAAGCTATTTAAAAAAAAGTCTTATGTAAACAATGGGACAGGTGGTTTGCAGATAAGGCAAGAATTATAAAGGTGGTATGCCAGCGACTAAAGCTAGGGGAACTTTATTCTGCTGTAATCATAATACGTGATGTGGTGTATTTGTTTCTGTTTGTGTAAGCAGAAGATAAAACATGGGGTCCCAGATGAAGCAGGTTCCATACCAAGTTTAGGAAGAAGTGACCAGTACCTGTGGTCATACGAAATAAACAGGTGGAAAGAGAGCCCAACACTGCCTTTCAAGGTGATGAATCAGCCAGCTGTCCTAAAGAAGAGAGCTCATTAGAGAGGCTCAATCTCATCCAGGAGACGAAACCTCTAAATGGCCCAACTAATTAGAATGAAATAATAATAGGGAATACATAAGTTTTTAATAATGTTAACAGACACGTTCAATAAATCAAAACAACAGAGCAATGGGTCAGGAACTGGCAGATATACAAAACTTAAAATTTATCATTCCTGGGGAAGACACCAAGTTTCAGAAATGAAAATCTACATGAAGGACAGGAACTTAGGAGTCCTTTATCATAATAAAAGCGATTTAGTTAGGAAAATGGACTGAGCCAGATGACTGGCGGCTTGGAACCACTGTGGGCTGAGCAACCAGATCCGATATCCCAGCCAAAAAGCAACCAGAGAATAACTGGACCTGGTAACCTCGACGATATATTGAAGTCCTCATCCCTGGTACCTTTGAATGTGACCTTGTTTGGAAATAAAGCCTTTTAGATGTTACCAGTTAGGTTAACATGATGTCATACCAGAGTAGGTTGGGTCCTAATCCCATCTAAGTAGTGTCTTAAAAAAGAGGAGAGACACAGACAGAGGAAGAATGACTATGTGACAATGGAGGCAGAAGCAGCTGCAAGTCAAAGAACACCAAGGATTGTCGAGAGCCACCAGAAGATAGGAGAGAGGCATAGAACAGTTCCTCTCTCAGATGTCAGAAGCAATCAACGTGGCTGATACCCTGATTTGGACTTCTAGTCTGTTAGACCATTCATTTCTCTCCTTTAAAGGCACTCACTCACTTTGTGATATTTTGTTACGGTAGCCCGCGGAAACTAAAATAACAACTATTGGAATAAAAAGCATAATAAAAATAAAGTAAAAACTTTAAAAATGATATGAATAGGAATCAAGATAATGCAGAAATGATTTTAACTTCATATTCATATGTTTATATCCTGCTTTTTAATTTAAGTGTAGGATCTTTTTGTCTGTGTTTTGTTCATTTTTACAGGGTTTCAAACATTTGCAATAATCTAATGTTTTTAGAAAGGAAATTTCAATTAAATGTTTAGAAATGTTTATATTTAAAATCTATGTTTAAATGTTGGGAAATTTTCCTTTGTTAAATCTACATTTTTTTAAGTTGTGTACAAAACTTATAGGGATGTTGACTGTGTAATGTTTAAAAACGTTGATTGTTTAATAGACTCATAAGATGAATAAACTGAGCACAAACAGAGGTCAATGTACTAAGTACAGGTCTTCATGTATAAGAGCCCCTTGGATATTAAGACTCCGTCATCATAAATCACTGCTAATAAGTGAAGGCCAATTTGCTATAGTGAGTAGCGCGCTGTGATGGTATAACATGCCTGTGACAAGTGACTGGAACACCAAGCCTTACACTGTAGAAAGAGTAGTATGGATCACACTGGGTGACCACAGCGCCATCACTATCACCTTGCAATGAATGAATTTGAAAGTCCTTAGCTGTTTACACATTTTGACAGGTAATAACACTGTTCCTCAATCATTGTGCTCTTTTGAAATTAAGATATCTAAACTCTGAAAACACTGCCAATGATGAATAAGTAGGTTAGGGACATTCCAGGAAAATGAGCCTTCACCATACTTTTACTAGGGGCTTTGTTTCCTTTGTTAGCGTGCAGACTCCTTAGGTTCGTGGACTCCGGAAGAATAAAGCACCACTGCCACATCTGCAGATGCGTAAAATGGCTGCTCACAAATAAAACCAGCACTCTGTGGTTAAGAACTTTGTTCTCTGGCTTGGAGACAACACCAGTTAGGATTTTGGCTTGATCGCATGCTCTCTCTGGGCCCAGTATCTCCTTGCCCTTGATCAGAGCCATCTTGGCAAGTCTGAGGAGGTGGAAGGCACTTGCTCAGTCAAGGCGACTCCAGTTAATGGAATATTTTTTATACTTCAGCAAACAATTTAACTATTTCAGAGAGAACTCCACTTCAGTGGGAAGGATTCCTCCTTGAGACAGGAGACTGCCTGCTTTAGTCTTAATATCGAATGACTAATTTCGCCTTGGATTAGATGTGAAAATCATTAAGTTTGAGAATCCTCTAACTGAGGGCTCAGTGGGCCTTACTTGCATGAAGAATGTTCTTTTTTCCCTCTGCCGATTCACCTCCGGAGATGACAGCTTCCTCTTGTGTTCAGCTATTTTCCTCCCAGGTTCTTCCTCCCATCCCGGGTTTATTGCAATGACTACTATGTAGCACTCTCAAAAGAAGATTCCTTTTCAAAGGTTCAGCCAACCCTCCAAAGTCCCAGTTTGAAAGGGGGTATTAATTAGCTTGATCCTAGGGCTAACCCAGTGTTTCAAGCTTTTTCATTCAAACGGATTTTTTTTAAAGCCCATAAAATCTGACTTTCCAAGGAGGCAGGAGCTAATGAGGTGGCCCAGACAAACAAAACCTGTTGAACCAAGGCCACACCAGGCCACTGAACGCCTACTATCCCCCTTAGCCATTTGCCTCCCCTACAGATTTAGCCCCAGAAGGGAGGTGGGGGTGGGAGCCAGGTTGTCTTGAATTATGCAGTCTCATCAGCCAGGAAAATCTTTCCAACCCTTATGGGGAGCATGGTGCTGAACAGCAGAAAGGTATAACACTGGGAACAGCGGTGAGAGAACAGTCTCTAGGGAAAACGATTTTTTCCACTACTAGTCTTTGGAAGGCAGTCCTGTAGGGTTGGGACTTCTTGGTAACTTGTGGGTCATTGAGGAAGGAGAAGAAGGCTAGGTTTGGAGAAGTAATGAGGACTGATATTGACAGAACATGTACTATGTACCAAATACCATTCTAATTACTTACATATAAACCATGTCATCCTTACAACAAACCTGTGTTCTGGGGATTATTTAAATCCTCAATGTACAGATGAGGAAACTAAGGCAGACAGAGATCCCATGGTGAACACTGCACAGCAGAAGTTCAAACCCTGGTATCTGCTGCCACAGCACATGCTCTTAACCAGTGTGCTACCTGACACGGATTCTGAGGGGGTGCTACTCTTGGCTTAAAGGCCAAGCATGCAGGCCACTCCTGGTGAGCAAAGGCTCAGCTTCATTCTCTCTCAGGAAAAAAAAAAAAAAAAAAAAAATCCCAGTTAGGTGGAGGGAAATGACTAGCTCTGGCATAAATCAGGGGTCCATGTGTTTTAAAGGATGAGCTGGGAAAGGAAGAGAAGGAGGAATAAAACAAAAAACTGGACGGTCCAAAGAGGAGGAACCCTGTGCCCT